ATCTCATAAAAAAATATGCAAATTAAAAGTATATATATATATATATATATATTCACAATCAAGCTCTGGAATTGGGAAAGTCTTTCCTTCCCTTCTTATGGAGAATCCTCACCGCAGCTCTCAGGCTGGTGAAGAGTCCTGGGGGGCACTCTTGTTGCAGACAACTTGGTTGTTGAAGGATTCTCGTCTCCCGATCAATATCCTGAAACTTCTGGCAATCTGGCCGTCTTTGCAATGTTGGACCCACATTGGGGCATCAGGCAGGAAATAGAAGTGTCTCTGTAGAAAGAGAGGTGCATTGAATCCTCTCCTGGAAAGAACTCCATATTCTAGCGTTGTCCACCATTTATATCTTAGCCCTCATTCACACCTCAGCAACATAGAATATGTGCGTTTTTTGTTTTGCACGTTTTAAGCGCGTACGTAGTCCCACGTTTTAGTGAGCAGATCATGACACATTGATGTGAATGGACAAACGCCCATAAAAATTTGCAAAAATAAAAAGCAGCAAAAGTGTGTTTTTTAACTTTTCTATTGAAGTCTATGTTGCCAAGAAGAGCAGAATCTGCCAAAAAGAAGCTCATGTGCTTCAAGCGAGGGGTGTTTTGCTAGAAGTGACAGAACACTCAGATGTAAACATGGACATAGAAATGAATAGGGGGGATTTTTCGGGCATAAAAAGTACAACAAAACGCTCAGTTTGAATGAGGGCTTCAGCATAGTCAGTTGGCAGGCGGACTTTAGCCAGCAGCGCCTGGACCCGGGGCAGCGGCCACATGGCCCACACATGTTCAGCTGATATATCGGCCTGTAACTTGCTGATAATTTTTGTGAATTTCTGCAACATTTGTACATGTCAGTGTGCAGACACAGCACTTCTAACCCTTCCATGTTACTGGGCAGATACAGCACTTCTAACCCTTCCATGTTACTGGGCAGATACAGCACTTCTAACCCTTCCATGTTACTGGGCAGATACAGCACTTCTAACCCTTCCATGTTACTGGGCAGATACAGCAGTTGTTATCCTTCCATGTTACTGGACAGATACTTATAATTCTTCCATGTCACTATGCAGATAATGCAGTTCTAATCCTCTGTGTTATTGTGCAGGTAGAGCAGTTACCTTCCTTCCATGGTACTGTGCACATAGGGCAGTTTTCATCCTTGCATGTTACTTTGCAGATAGAGTAGTTGTCACCCTTGTGCGTATATTGTGCGATTACCTGCGGATCGGGATAGATGCTTGGCCCCTTACTGCCACTCTTGCTGGACAGTTTGCTCTGCTTTTAAATTTGTAAGAAAAATATAATGTGAACTGTATTCATTTCCTAAATAATATCATTACATGTATTGGTGTATATAAACCCTAACTATTCATTTCTCATATATGCCATATTTTTTGGGCTGGTAATGATATAATTGAAAGTGTTTTTATTAGATCTGTTTGAGCTGAAAGCCAGAAATCGTAGGGTTGCCATGTTTCCTGATTATTCTGCAATTTTATGTCAAGTGTTATCTGTGGTTAACTTCACACAGAGATTTATTTAGTAAACTACAGAACACCCACCTCCCCCTTGTATACAATTTAAACTGCTCCAGGCAAGCACACGCAGAGACCTGCAGGGGATGCGCAGCCTCCCCAGGATCCGCTTTCTCCTCCCAGGCATAAAAACACATGCACTGCACTCTTCTGTGTATTTTGCTGAACCACAGCATGATTTATTGGTGCCGAATTAGGTCAAACTGAAATTCCCTCCCACTTCGGAGTTGCATCTGACAGGGGAGAGAATGTCTGTCTTGACTAATCTGGTATCAATAAAGCTTGTTGTGGTTCAACACAAAATACATCTGTCTGCAGCTTATGTGTTTATCCCCTTATGCTACGGGGAAGAGAGACGAACGTTCTCGGTCATTCTCTCCTGAGGTGACCGCACCGGTACTCTATAGATACAGTACACAAAAACAAATGCATCTACCACATCGGAGGACTGGTAAGTTGCACTATATATTTTTAATGGGTTTAGATGCACTTTAATTGCATGTAGCTAGTAGAATAGGTTTGTGACATTTGGTCTTTTAGGCTGTGCTGGAGTCCTAATTTTATGTATAGTTAAATTCTACACATTGTGGCGTCCATACTCTTTAGGGTGTGACATGTTAGACGGCCTCCTGCTGATTTGCGTCATCTACTTTCTTCACCCACAGCATGCGATCTATCCTCAGGAATCATCGGTACCGGCGGGATGCACGCTCGTTAGAGGACGAGGAAGAAATGTGGTTCAACACGGACGATGACGACCTGGAGGATGGAGATCCGGTGGTGCTTCCTTCTGACAAAATTAAGAACAGCGAGGATCTGATGGATCCTATCACCAAGTTCATGGAAAGAAAGAAGTGTGAGTTATCCGGCTATTTATATTGTGAGGACTTGGCATGAAGTTTAGTGGAGGATTAGGTTAAAGGAGAACTCTAGTCTTGTCTTCAGTTTTGCAAATTACATACTCCCCTCCTGTATTCAGATTCTTCTGATGTCACTGCACACTGTGAGATTATCATAATGTGCATTAGAAGCTGCAGCAAAAAACATTTGCTGGCTGGGGGACATCCAGCATTATATAGCATTTTCCTCCTCAGCCTGGCTGTCCCTGGCTTGAACGGGAAACAGGTCAGCACATCTAAAACATAGTATACAGTAGGGATGTCCCGATACCAGGCATTTTCACGAGTACTTGTACTCGTGAAAATGCCCCGGTTCTTAAGGCCGATACCGGCCCTTTAAGTGTTCAAATAGCAGCAGACGTCAGAGTTCCCGCGCTTGTGGGGACCTCGGCAGCCTGCTGGGGACCTGCAAATAGCTGTCCATGGCAGTGCCTGTCCGGTTCTTTATTTCCTCCTCCCCGGCGCAGGCACAGCCATGGACAGCCCCGGTGGTGGAACTACCGCCCCAGGGCTAGAAGCTGGAGGTTCCTGCCGCACACTGATGGGGAGGACTGGGCCACATTGGACGTTGCAGCATTGCCTGTCTGAACGATGGGGAGGCCGGGTCCCGGCATCACCGGTGAGGTGGGGTGCCCTCAGAGCCACTGCAGATGTCCACGTCGCCTGGTGAGAGGAATTCTGCTTTGGGGACACGTATTCGCAGAACACGTGCCCAAAGCAGAATACTATTCTGCCTTAGGGGCATGTGTTCTGTTGTGGGGACATGTGTTGGGCTTTGGGGACATGTATTCATTTCTGGTGACATCCGTATTTAGCCCTGGTGAGAAACTGCCCTAAAATTATCAGTCTGTTTTAGAAAAAAATGTCACATGTTCCTTTTTAAGAAAAAGTATCGGTGATTGGTATCGGCGAGTGCATGAGGGAAATTACTTGTACTTAGTCTTAAAAAAAGTGGTATCGGGACAACCCTATTATACAGAATACTTTTTTAAAAAAACACACAGAAAAAAGTTTTGCTCCATTGATAACAGGCCTATTAATATGGGAAGACTTCAAATCAAATGGGATTTATGTACCACGTTGCTTTTGTTGCTCACATCAGAAGCTGCCTTTCTGCCTGCTGGATATAATTTGGGGCAGTGAAGGTTTTTGTAGTGACGCTGCATAGGTTTAGCTTCACTGACCATGAGCTTCACATTTTAGCTTCATGACAGATCCTGTTTTAGATGTCTGGAATGTTCATAATTATTTTGATAAGATAGTTTGTAGCTGTACTTGTTTATTGGGGTGCTTTATAATGGTGGTCATACTTATAACGCAGTCCCTGTTGTGTTTTGATTTTTCCAGTGAAGGAGAGTGAAGAGAAGGAGGTTCTTCTGAAGACCAGCCTCAGCGGCCGACAGAGTCCGGGTTTCAAACTCTCCTTTTCTGGGGGGACAAAGACGACCCTCACCAGCCAATCAACAGCAAGCAGCTTACCGGGATCCCCCACCTCGCCTGGGTCTCCCGGCTCACCCGGTTCTCCTGGGTCCGTTTCCAAAAGCACACCTCAGACGGCAGCTATTACTACAAAGGTAAATACGGCTGTGGCATGGCATGTCGTTGTTGCTTTCTCCTGGTTGAATCCCGCAAAGCTAGCCTGTTACATGGCACTAGTGGGCTGCAAGAATCTTCTGCTTCTGAAGGGTACATTTTTGTAAGTTTCGGGTGGCGAGCATCTCAATAAATGGCGTTAAGGTCTGCAGACCTCTGATAAGGAATGTGAAGGTCTCTAATATATTTAAAGGGATTTAGAGGGGCATAGCTCTCAAAGCCAAAGTAAATCGATTTGAAATAAACAGATTAAACGTGTAAGAATAAAGATCTGGTGGTGAACTGACGTGTTTCGGAGATCATGCGCCAGAGATATCGAAATTGCCATTCATGCATTAACTGTTGCTGACTTTGTAACAAACATTTGGAAAATTAAAGTAAACATTTCTACTACCCTTGCAGTGGGGCTACACCTGCGCTTCAGGGGTTAACTGCTCACTTTCGTCTAGGGACTGAAATAAATTGATCCTAGCTGGCTGCTCTTAGCCCAGATCTTTTAGTGTCTCCCCCTCTGCTGCAGGGATTTTAAAGTCTAGGGCTGGCCATACACCTATCGATTTATTTCGGTCAACCTGCGGGCTGAACGAAAAAAATTGGCCCGATTCCTCCATCGAGGAATCGCGCTGTTTGCATTGTATTCTGAAAGGTGCTTCCGGTGTTCTATAAAAGATTGTGACTAAGTTGGAATGTGTGACCGGTCACGCATTTTAACGTAATCACGCCCACTTTTTCTGCGGGGGAATATGTGACCGGCAAAAGGTGAAGAATTCCAATGCTTAGCTGTTCCAGGGCAGATCGGCATCGCAGATGGTATGTGCAGGAGAACCGATCTGCCCTGGTACAGCTGATCGGTCCTGAAATGTCACTTCTATCGACTTTGTGACTGCGATCTCAATTCCGCAAAGTCGGATAGAAGTGACATTTCAGGATACATACAATCTGCGATGCCGATCTGCCCTGGAACAGCTGAGAAAACATTGGAATTCTTCATCTTTTGCCGGTCAAATATTCCACCTCAGAAAAAGTGGGTGTGATTATGTTAAAATGTGACCACGTGACCGGTCACACATTCCACCGCAGAAAAAACTGGGCGGGATTAGGTTAAAATGCGTGACAACGTCACCGGTCGAACACCCTTAACGGAGTCACAAAGTTTGATAGAACACCGGCACCTGTCAGAATACCCAATCAGAGCAGGCAGCTCATTGGCTACTGGCTCCGATCAATCAAAAATTTTCCGCCCGGTTCCTTCGATCAGCTGAAAGGGAGCAGACAGCCCCACACACCTGTGCGAATTTCAGCCGGTACATAAAAAAAACGGCCGAAGTTCGGCCAGTATATGGGCACCATAAGTCTTCACGTTTTCTGTACACAGTGTAAGGACACGGAGGGAGCGCTGTGATAGCTGGCCGCATCTGATGCTCGGACGACTAATGAAACGAGCAGTTAACCCTTAACTTCAAGGGTTAATAAAAACATTTTCCTTTAACACTATTGTATAACATAATTCTAAGTGCAAATCACTTTA